TTTTCTGAGTTTCAGTTTAAGTTTGATGCTACTACGCTCCCCTTCTGGAGAACAGAGTAGCAAGATTTGAAGCTTCACTGATTCCTCAGTGCTCACAGAGAGACAAGTTTTTCAAACAGTGTACTTCAATAAAAAAAGAGAGGCTTACTCCACTAGTGCAGATACGAAAAAATATGCCCAATGAATGCAGGTCTGGACAACAGTGGTGATGGCATGGATCTATAGCATAGATAGCAAACTCTGTGTGCTTAGTCCCAGTTGACTACACTGAAGTTAGGGTCCTCAAAGAAACTAATATTACATATATGGAAAAATACCATTGCTAATATGAAGGCTGTAAGTATATGTCAAAATCTAAAGCTAATTAAAGTGTTCAATACTAAGAGTATGCTTTTTTTTTTTTTTAACTCTGAAATACATCAAATGTTTTGTCTCTGAGGATCTCTTCACAAAATACCTGGGATTTATGAGCAAAGGCTTATACATACATATAGTCATTTCTTCTTCCCCAGCATAAATTACAGGTGGGTTCTAAATACAAACCTGCAGTCCTGTGATTCTGCTTTTGTGTATGTCACAGAATATCCAGTTAATTGCAGTAACTAGCGATACATCTTTAGAATAAAACTTTGTGCACACCAATTTGCAAACCTGTTATGAAGTATGCTTTTATTTATGTTTAGCTGTGAGCAGAGAGGTACATTTCGACCACATTCTGTTGGAAGCTTACACATTACAGAGCTTCTGTGGTTTAGTGCAGTAGTTTGTCCTAACCTTCTCATGAACACAGTCACTATAATCAGTGTTACATTTACCACACTTGCAGCTCACAGCCACAGGGTAGGAATAGTAAGGGATGGTGTGACGAGGACAGCCTGGAATTAGTGCTGTTTGATACAACATCTCTTTATATGTGCACACGTTCTGCGACAGAGCACTTTTGAGTAGCAGCTTCTTGCCATTGCTGTCCTACAAAAGAAAAAAGAAATGCATTGTTTCACTGAAGCATACGTGAGTGTCAGAAGACTTCCTTTGACATTTTCGCAAATGTGCAGAAAGCAAACCTCTTTACACTTAGACTGGCTCCAATGTTTTCAGCATACTTCTGTTCAGATCTGCAATTTTGAATCTGCATGCAACTGGGGCTCTCTACCCCCACAGATATGCTCACCTTGCTTTTATGGTTTTAACTGATCTGCTTGGCTCAGAGTGCTTGTCTCAGAATGCTAACAGTGCTTTGTAATCTGTACTGGCTGCCTACTGACCAAGGGTGGAACTTAAAATGCTGTGTTGGACAGTGAAGCTCAAGCATAGTGTTTGGCATGCCTACATGCGAGATGATACTCTCCACAGCTAGCTGTCGTAACAGTAGTGGGAGTAGAAGTTACCCAAGTCATTTACATGAAATAAGAGTGACTAAATATAATCTGCTTCTCACCTGTTTCATCCTGACCCCACAAGCTGCCTACAGAGGCTCTGCAGTGGCAGCAGCAGTCAGTTCTCTGCTATGCCACTGGTATTATAAACTCCATAGCTCCAGAGGCTTGGCATTTCTCATCCACGCCTTCGCAAAAAGCTAACTTGAAAACATGATGATAGCGTGATTTTTCTGTCTGTGACAAACACTATTAGAATTGGATCATTTACACACCATTTTCCAGTGAGAATAGGCACTTGTTTTGCAGTGATGGCCATTACAGAAACAACTGCCTGAAACAGAGTAATGCCTTGTACCCGAGTCATGCAAAATCCAGCGCAGATGGTGGTGTTGATGGCCAGGCAGTAGGCACATTCCCTTTTCTCCACATGGATTATATACTCAGAAGGAGCACAAAGTGATGCTGTGTGACCGAAAGTCAGGCCAAAGAGGAGAGACATCACAAAGAAGGGAGTCATGCTAGACGGGGAAAAACAAACAAAGCAAACCCTAAGTAAAATTAGATGAACCTTCCAGCCCTTTTCTCAGAATTTGGGAACAACAGTTATGATAGTCACAGACGAGAAGTAACCTTAACTTTTTTAGCTACAGCCTGACTAATTCTTTCCAATCTCAGACCTTTAATTGAAATAGTACTAACCACTAAACAGAAAGCAAAGGTAAACAGGCCATTAACAACATACAACAAATTAACTTTTTCCCCACTAAAGCATATTACATGGAACTTTTCACTAATGAGTGTGATAAAATGCTGACACAGAAAAATAATAGGAGCTAAAGGATTTGAAAATGTGACATATGTGAAAGAACATGAGCTCTAGAATTAACCAGAGATGCTAAAATAATCTCACTGGTTTAAAAATAGTTTTCTAAAGAAAGCTTCTTATAAAATGTTCAAGAGAGAAAAAGAAACAGCTGTGCATATCAGGCATTCCACTGTATTTTTTACTTTCTAGTTGGCTTAGAGGCATGATGAAATGGGAACACTGCCATGAATTAAATAATAGATTCAAGCAAATTACAATTAAGAACATCAGCAAAGAGTTCAAATCAATGAATCCCCACTTTATCTGTCTATTGTGCTGACCTCATTTCTCAGACCTGCTGGGGAATCCCGAGAACAAAGCTTTGATTAGCTCCGAGACAATTCCAGGGTCTACTCTATAGCCTCTAAAGTACGAACTTTAAATGGCAGCGTCTACAAACATATGGACGTCACCCTCGAGTCTCTTCCAGCTGTCAGTTTCCCATAGCAAAAGCCATTCATTAGAGAGTCTGGTTTAACCTGTAGCTGCAACAATGCAAGTCTGGAAAGACCAACCTCTTGTCAGCTGAATTCTTCCCTATTACAGGAACCTGATTCTGCCTTGAGCTGGGAGAGGCAGTGACCCAGCACAAGCTCTGTGTGCGCTTTATACTCTCCAGGCTAATTCCAGGCTGATCTTACTGTTTATATAATTGCATCTGAATTGCTGCTTTCTTATCGCAAAGTCATCTATTGAAAATTCATACTGAACCACAAAGCAAATGTGATAGGAACAAATGTGTCCATAATATCCTAACCTGGAAACTGGAGCTGGAAATCTAATTATTTTAACAGTCATTCTCTTCTCAGGCTTTTAAACTAACCACTGCTTTAAAAAAGTTATTGATTAATGTAATCGCTACATAGGACAGCAACATCATGACAGGAAGGTTAGCATGGAAAGGGAGCCATCCTGAATCACATATGAATAATTCTACACCTATGTGTTGCAGACGTTTAATGAAGTCTGGTTTGCTCAGTTTGCTCTTTACCAGGCAGGCACAACGGAGAGATGCAGTGCTATACGCATAAAGTAACAAATCTCAAATCAAAGCAATTGCTCTACAGTGTGGTTAGGTACCACCTGACTGACTTATTCGAACAAAACACACTGAGAAATTATCTGGCCTTGAATCTGCTGAGCAAATACTGAAGTAACAAGCAATTCACTCTGAAATACTACTAGATAGGGGAAAAACTTTTAGGAAACCACTCCTTGTAGCACAATGAGAAGGAAAATATTGCACCCACACCAGTGAAACCAAGACGTCCACAGATGAGGGAAAAACACTCACGCTTAGGGCTCTGTGGAACGCCTGGGAGGAGCAAAAGTGAGAAAGGCTCAAGTCAGCATGCACGCCTTGCACTGATTCAGCACAAAGCCACTGTCCTGACTGCTTCATCCGCGCCGAGCCAGCCTTCTCACCGTGCTTATTCACTGCAGCTAACACACACCCTTCCAGTTCATCACCTAGCTGCCATCTGGACTTTGATCTGATGTATGTCTTACGCATGTCAGCCGCATTCTTGATTCACGTAGCCATAAGAAATACGATAAAGTTGAGTTTGAGCTGGTAAACGTGGTCACTTTGGGCTGTTGGAGGAGTGATCCAGTCAGTCCCGATTGGTGGTTAGCTAATTCCTGAATAAGATTGTCTCCTTTTCCTGTGGTTTCGGACTGCTGCACACAGCTTTGTGTCCTGGACTAATTCTTCAAGGGCTTTTTTTTTATAACATGATAACATTCTTGTTCTATTAAGACTAGCCAAATGCTTTCTGTTTTCATGGCGTCTTTAATTATGGGCTAATTTCTACCGTATAACTTCTCAGGAATTAATATAACTCTTTCTGGCTTAAGGACACGAGCAGAGCATTAATTGTACTCTCAGTAACATCTGTCCATATACACTTAGCAACAGAAGTATAACACTGTTACTTTGCTACTACTCCAATATGTTATTTAACTCTGTTTTTTTCCGACATATTTTAAATGCAGTTAAACATACAGGCTCTATGATTATACACATACATACACCCATATGTACTTAATGTGTGTATATACATACACACACACACACATTATATATACACATACACATTACATATATATGTATGGGTTTGGTTGTTTAAAACTTTAATCACAGAAAAGAATGTTCATTCTTGGAAAATCTTAAGAGTACTTCAAAGGAGACAATGATCCTGAAAGGAAAAGGAAACAATTCCTAAAACTAAATCCTGGAGAGGACAAAAAGTGTCCAAAATAAGAATTAAAAAATGGCATTCCTAAAGCAAGAATATCGCATTGACCCTTGCATGCCTAGCTGAAGTAGGTACAGCTGATTCTTTTCTCTAAAGATTTCACAGCTATTTACAAGTACAGTTTTAGGCAATTGGAGCTATATTTGTATACACTGGTTCTGACAGGAAGACACCCACACCCAGGTTTAAAGTGTCCTCAACATATCCTATAAGAATATAGGCAGAGGACAGATCAGAGTATGAAGGCATATATCCTTTGCTGCCTCAAAGCAATAGTTTCTCTGATTTGAGAAAAACAGGTGTAACTGGGGGGTGGTGGAGGCAGGATTCAGATTAGGGTAAAAAAGGATTAAGAATTTGCTTTAAGAGGATTTAGGGAAATGTTGTCTGCAAACATCAACAGAAAAGAAAAAAATAACAATGCTTGAAAGTCTCTCATAGTGAGGATGAAAAAGAGAATGCAACAACAAAAACTATAGCAATAAAAAAAAAGGAAAACAAACAACAATCACAGTTAGAAGTGATAAAATGTAGAAAACTCACACGGGAAGCTGGAAACTACGAAATAGACTTCTGTCAGGACAGAGGCCAACAGTAATGTCAAGGGACATTACCAGATGAAGACAAGCTGTTGATGCAGAGTAAGTGCGAAGTCCAGTAAATACGTGTGCATTTGAAAATGTAGTGGCTGAACAACCAATCATATTTGCAACAAAAATTATTACATAAATTGTATAAGGAATAAATATTTTAAAATCAACATCATTAGCTAGCTAACGCTAATTTCAACAAGTCTTGGAATACTGAGGAAATTTCAAAACATTAAGAAAAGTGCTGATATTATGCCAGTATTTAAAGAGAGAATGTTGACCCAGGTAACTCTCAACCAGCTAGCCTGACATCTATCCCTGATAAATCAGGTAAAATAACAGAAAGTTGATACAGGATTTGAGCAATAAAGAATTAACAGATGAGAACATAATTAATGCCTGTCAAGATGGTGTTACATAAAATAGGTCATGCCACACAAACCTGATTTCATTCTTTGAGGTGATTACAAATTTAGTTGTTAAGGCAACTGCATAGATGCGGTGTCCTTGGTTCCATCTGTCCAGAGCCCCATTGTCATGAAGATTTGGAGCTATTAGGCAGAGTCCAGCATGGTGTATGCTGAATGTCAGGAATTACTAATCACTGGAGCAGGTAGTATAATTTCAGCAGTGCATTTATTCACTGCAACTTTTTTACCCAGCCTCTGAATGCACTGCAGTGCACTACAGAAATATCTGACCAAGTATTAAGAATGAGAATTAATTTATCTGGAAGCACCGTAAATTGGTCTGAGTGGACCTTGAAACTTATGTGACTCCTGCTGCTCATACTCAGGTTAGCTCCACACTGGTAGGGACACAGAACCTCTTGGCTACTTGGCTACCTCTTTGCTGGCATCATGTTAGCCTGCCCGTCTATCAGAGATGCACTGAACCTCACCAGAGTGATACACACATTCACATCTCCTCAGTAATTTACACAAACTATTAAGCTGGTAGAAAAACCTTTCCTTGATTGTCCTTCTGGATGTGACCATAGAGTTCATTCCCTACGGACCCCTCTGAACGCTTGATGGGAGTGAGATCCCACTACCTGCTGGGAGCAGCAAGACACAAGGCTGTGGCGGGACAAAGTCCAGCGTGGCAATCTGTGAGTACCCCAGGCTTCTTTCATAGTTTCCTAAAATCCATAGTTTAAAGTCTGATGCTTATGGATCCATTTCTTTGGTTGCCCCCCTGCTGACCTGCACGGCATTCAGTGATAGAAATTTTTAATGTGCTTTTACAGCCATCGGCTTTGTAACCCTGTTCTGGAACAGCCAGTTACACTGTGAATTATTAATCTTTAACCTTTCTGTTAGCTAAACCAACCCATTCACTGACATCAGTTATTTTACACTTTCTTGTTTCTACTGCATATAGTACTGTGGGTATTAAAATAAAAACATGTCCATGATTGCAAACAACAGAGAATTAGAAGCTATGCCAATGAAAAACAAAGCCAATCAGATTTCTAAAAAGATTAGTATTCTGGCAGAGGACTTATTTCCAACCCCATCCTGTTGCAGACCTCCACTGATGAAAGGAAATAAGATCCTAACATGCTGCCATAGAAACAAGTGTTTTTGCCAGGTTTTGCATTTAAACAGACTGTGGCTGCTGAATTTTCAAAGCTAATCTGTCTATTGCAAGTCTCTCTGTAATAGCTTGAAGCATAGCTCTCTTAAATTTATAAATTCACAGATGATCTCTTTCTTTCCTAGGATTAGCTGCAGCATTTTTTCCTATCAACCACAGATTAAAACAGCAATTGTCTTTGTTCCATATCATCTGCCAACGATCTCCATTTATGGTCTGAAAATACTTCATAATCCTATTTGCTGTTTGGCTCATATGATAGACCACTTTGTATTTGGTTTCATTTCTTTGGAAAGTGCTAGATATTTTTGTTAATCTAAGATATACAATCACTACACTGAGGACAAAATTTAAAAAAAACCAAACAACAACAACGAAGACGAACCAGAAGCCTTCTGCAGTATTATCAAGGATTAATGGCTATACCCACCCAATATCAGAACAGTGCTAAGGGGTAAAAGTCGCAGACACTTTTCAGTTTTGAAGGGCTGTGTCGTACACCCGACTGGACCAGCAGTCTGATAAGCAGCAGGCAGTCAGACAAGATCTTCACTGATGAAGATCTGGTATGGAGACTTGACACCGTGCACGTACAATTGACTTTTTTAAGATCAGAATAAACTAATTACATAGGCTCAGTATGAACATCAGGGAATGTTTCTGTTTCTCCTTTTAGGCTCTGGGCATGCAGGCCTGTTGGATGCTGCTCTTGCCCAACACGCATTCCTCTCTCAAGCATTTTCACACGCCCACCTGAAAAAAGAAGTGTCCACCACAGCTTGACAGGCTGTGAAGCCTGCCAAAGTGAATGCCTCCCACTAAGGAAGCCACTCAGACATTCCACCTAAAAGGAAGGAAAAGGGAAGACTGGTTTTCCTCGGGAACCCTTCTGCCCCAAGATACTCCTGGTAGAAGCAAGGCAAACTAAATTAAAAATTTTGATATCTAGGGACGGAAAAGGTTCTAGGAATAACACTGTTGTTTGTACTGGTTTCGTTGTTGGTTTGTTTTTTTTTTTCCTTCTTATTAGACACATTTAACTCCTGTAGCAATTTTTTAAAAAATCCTTTTAGTTTAGAAATTTAAAGGAATATTATTATTACTGTTTTAGAAATAGTTGTCCTTTATAATAACTATCATGCATACCTGAGGGTTTT